CACTAGCTCTTGTAGACCAGGCTGGTCTCGAACTCACAGAGATCCGCCTGCCTCTGCCTCCCGAGTGCTGGGATTAAAGGCGTGCGCCACCACCGCCCGGCTTTTCCCACTTTTTAAACTAAATGTTACACAAAAGTTAAATGTACCAGACTGGTATAACTGACCTCAGTATTCAATAATGTCTAAAGGCCTATATTAATGTCAATAGAGGGACCATTCTCAAAGTCAGCTAGGTCCCAGGAGACTATGGGACATCTCTTAAAGGGTCCTGCAGCCCTTAGAGTCTCCTGTTCTCTTCATCAGAGAGGCCATGGTAACGTCACAGGGCCTCTAAAGAAGGGAACCAGAGAGGAAAACACCCTCAAGGCTTCCATAGAGAAGCTACACATCTTTACACAGATGCACCAATGCAAAGAAATAAATCATAAAAACTACAATAACTAAAAATATCAGATTTAATTTTAAAACAAAAAACCTATAGTAATCATGAGAGCTCAGAATATAACTCAATGGTGAAACTTGCCTCGTTGGCTGAAACCCTCCACACTATGTGTAAAGGGCAGAGGTCAATGTCAGGCATCCTCCTCTTTGCTCTTCACCTTGATTGAGACAGGGTCTCTCACTGATCTTGGGAGCTTCACGATTTAGTCAGACTGGGTGGCTGGCAAGCTCCAGGGATCATTCTGTCTCTGCCTTCCCAGCGCTAGGGCTACAGGTGCATGTCTGTCACCGCACCCAGCTTTTTATGTGGGTGCTTGTGATCGAACTCTTGTTCTCACACTTGTGTAGCATGTGCTTACTGACAATCTCCCTAGCCCATTTTGTGTTTTTTCCCCTTAAATTCAAATTTGAAAGAGAATGTGTGCCACATGTACCTGGGTACCTGGAAGCTAGAGGAGAATGCTGGGTCCCCTGAAGCTGGAGTTACAGATGGTGGTGAGCCATCTGACGTGGGTTCTGTGAAGAGAACTCAGGCCCATACAGGAACAGCCAGTGCTCTTAACCTCTGAGCCAGCTCTCAAAACTCTCATTTTGTGTTTTTTGAAAGAGTCTCACTATACAGCCCAAGTTGACCTCAAATTTGCTTTCCTGATTTGTTTTCTGAATCCTGGGATTAAGGCTTTTCCTTGCTAATTGATCTTTGACAAGGGTACAGAGTCTGTTCAAAGGATAGACTTCATCAAATGATGCTGGAACAATATAGATCTCCATATATCAAAAGAATGAGGTGGGATACATATACAGAAATATGAGCTTAAAAAGTGGATCAAAGACAACTAAAACTTAGAGCCAGCAAGATGGTTCAGAGGATAAGGGTGATTGCTGCCAAACTTGATGATCTGAGTTCGATTCCTGAAAAGCACATGGTAAAAGAGAGAACTGACTCCCACAAGAGTTCCTCTGACCATTACACACATGCTGTGACACGTGCACGACACAGTACATGAATGGGTAAAGGTTTAAACTGTGAGGCTCTGAAGGAAAAAGATATGTACATACATTTTCTGACAATGGATTTGCTAGGCCATAGTTCAGGATAGAACAGTTGCCATGCAAGGTTTTGAGTTTGTTGCACAGTCAAAGTTCTCCAAAAAAGATAACCAAATTGCCAACAAATACAAGAAAAGCAAGTCAGTATTATTGGTCAATAAGTCATTATGAAATTGTAAATTGAAAACACAGTATCTTTCACACCTGTAAGGATGGTGATAAAGTAAAAACAAGAAAAGCAAGTATTTTTTTTTCTTTTGTTTTTTTTTTGTTTTCTTGAGGCAGGGTTTCTCTGTGTAACAGTCCTGGCTGTTCTAAATTCACTTTGTAGACCAGGCTCGCCTCAAACTCACAAAGATCCACCTGCCTCTGTCTTCTGAGTGCTGGGATTAAAGGCGTGCGTCACCACCATCTAGCAAAGCAAGTGGAAAAGTTTGGTGCTTTCTGAACAAACTAAAGGTAGCGCCACATACCCCAACAATCCCGCTCTAGGACTCCAGAGTTCAAGAGAAGAGCATTACGTGCTTTAGGCTGAGGGAGCAGTGAAGACAGAGATTTATTTGGGGGCAGAATGAGGAAGTTAGCTGTTTCCCTTAGATAAGCTGTTTGTCTGTTGTCTCTTTTTTGCCACTACTGGGTGTCTGGAATTGGGCCAGTTGCCTTCTGCAATCCTCAAATACCTGCTTCCTGGAACTTTGAGGTAAGTTTCAAGGCCTTGGCTATGCCAGGGTGAGGGTAGGGAGGTGGGTGTAGGGGGTGGAATTCATGTTCAGTTTGGAGGAAATGTCTCACAACAAAGCTTAAGTGTGTCAAGTTTAAACATTATACTCTCTAGTTTCAGAAGGTAAGTTTGTCTCTTTAAAGGTGTGCCGTTGTAGCCGGGCAGTGGTGGTGCACGCCTTTAATCCCAGCACTCGGGAGGCAGAGGCAGGCGGATCTCTGTGAGTTCGAGACCAGCCTGGTCTACAAGAGCTAGTTCCAGGACAGGCTCCAAAACCACAGAGAAACCCTGTCTCGAAAAACCAAAAAAAAAAAAAAAAAAAAAAAGGTGTGCCGTTGTTTGCTCTGTCATGCTCACCACCATTAACCTGCTTTGTTGTTACTGAAAGGAGAAGTATTGGTTCAGGACCCCCAAGAGCCATGCTGGCCATGCTCGAGCTGGCCAGAGTCCCTTCAGTTCTGTTTTTGTTAGTAGGGGGTTGGATTTTCTTCTTCTTCCTTTTTCCTGACCGCCTTTCTTTCTCTACTCCCCCCACATAATCTGCCAGCTGGAGATGAGATGGAAGACTGTCTTCACAGATTACCAGCTTCTGGAATAAAACACTGGTTTAAAGATTCAGTGCCTGGGGAGAGATGGCTCGCGGTTAAGAGCACCGACTCTTCCAGAGGTCCTGAGTTCAATTCCCAGCAACCACATGGTGGCTCACAACCATCTGTAATGAGATCTGGTGCCCTCTTCTGGGGTGCAGGTACACATGTAGGCAGAATACTGTATACATAATAAATAAATCTTAAAAAAAAAACAAACAAAAGATTCAGTGCTTGAGTACTCATGGGTATCTGCAAAGCAACAGCAAGCTCTGCTATTCCAGATTCAGCCCTGCCCTCTTCTGGCATGTAGGGAGAACACTATATACATAATAAATCAATCAATCAATCAATCTTAATTTTAAAAGGAGGAGGAGGAGGAGGAGGAGGAGGAGGAGGAGGAGGAGGAGGAGGGAGATGCAGCAGCAGCAGCTTGGCCTACATAGTTAGTTCCAGAACAACCAGGGCTACACTACCTGTCTGGAAAAACAAAAGGAAACAAAGAAAGGAAAGGAAAGAGACAAAGACAGAGAGAGATAGAGAGAAAAGTATCCCAGGCCTAGTAGGGAGAACAATGTGGGGGGAAGACGTCTTAAAATAAACATTTAAGGGGCTGGAGAGATTGCTCAATGGTTAAGGGCACTTGTTGCTCTTCCAGAGCTACCTATGTTTAATTCCTCGTGGCTCACAACCATCTGTACTTTCAGTGCTAGGGGATCTGATGCCCACTTCTGGCCTCTATGGCACACATATGAAACACATGTATGGCTCCATGGGCACACATGTGAAACAAGGCATACATGCAGTCAACCCTCTTCCCCCCCCCCCAAAAAAAAAGAAAAAAGAAAGAAAAAAAAAGACATTTAAACAGTAGTTAGGCTGGACGTCAACTGTAACCCAGTGCTTGGAAGACAGAGGCAAACAGATCTGTTTGTTCAAGGCCAGCCTGGTCTACTTAGCCAGGGTCACACAGTGAGACCCTGTCTCAAAAAAAGAGAAAAAATTACTACTCAACGCTTTTTTTTTTTTTTAACTATTCGACACTTTGAAGAGGTGAAGTTGGGGGCCAGCGTCCGCCCAACCTTGGCTCCCCTCCCACTGTTTCAGAACTGGAGGCAGAAGTCTAGAGATCCCGCTATTTACAAAGAGAAGGAATGGCTCGTAGAAGGCCCTCCAACTGAGACATAATGCAACAGTTCTTGGGGTTCTGTCTTTCATCTTCCGAGACAGTCCTATCTCTGTGTATCTTGGAATCAATCTAAAGGAGTAGTAAATAATTTCCCCTCTAGCTCCCAAACCTTAATATTATCACTGCCACCGAGACCTAAAGTCACTGGGACCGTAGAATGCATAGGAACGATAAATAAAGTTGGGACGCTCAGTAAAAGGAGTTTGGTACGGGTTTCCAACTCAACTGAACTTCAGCCTCACCAAGAGAGAACGCGAAAATACATGTTTGCTCACAATCGCTTCAGACCCACAGAAGACCCATCGTCCATATGTATTTGAGACGATCACACAGAGACAACGGGCAAAGATCTATTAAACACCGTTAAAGGGCTACATTTAAAGCGGCCTGAAGTCCGAGGGGAGCCCGAGGCGTGAGGACGGGTGGGAGGGGGTCCCGGGCGGGCTACAGGCGGAGTCGTTTTCGCCTACGTTTCGGGTACCCGGCGCCACTTTGTGGGCGTTCCTCAAGGAAGTCGAACCGAAAGGCTCCTTACCCGCCGCATGCGACCATTGGACAGCAAGTCGGCGATCCCCTTGGCTGCGTCGTTTTTCTCAGCCACACAGAGAACTTTTCGTACTCCTCGGAAGGCCACTTCCATGGCAGCGCGGGACAAGGCACGGCCTCCAAGCCGTCGCTGCCACCGAAACGCTAAGAGGGTGATTGGGAAGATCATTCCCTAGGCCCTGCGCCAGCAGCAACTCCACGGTGCCTCGTACATGTTGGGGAACACCTCCGAGAGTCACTTTAACAGTGCACCTTTTCCAGGCCACTGGCTGCCTCAGCGTGGAACCCACGCCTCAGAGATCCGCTTAAACTCGCGCTCACTGACAACTTCCGCTAACCGAGCAGCCTCGAACTACAACTCCCAGAATGCTTCATGCCCCGGCACGCTCACCCAACACCGTTTCTCCTCCTCCCTCCCACCTCACTGTATTCTATTTTCCCTTTCTTTAGGACAGTAGTTGGTTAATGGGACTTGTCCTCAGGAGGGACTGATTGACAGTGCCTCTTAAAAGGCGCCACTTATTCGGAAGTTAGTGTGAGCGTTTCCGGGTCACGCGACGCTGATGCTTGGGAGTCATGTGATACCAAGATGGTGGTGCCGCGGCAGCTTCCCTGGGACAGTGCAGTCCTAGGAGCCTCCAACAGTTTCTGCTCTTAGGTTTTGGGGAGGCCCATTTAGCTGACTCTGCGGCCGTCCGTGACTAGTATTAAGGACCTGATCAGAGCTGGGACTGTTGATGTCACTGGTAGGTTCCGGGGAGTGCTAGTGATTTCGGTTCCAGAAGCCTTGTGACAGCCAGGGGAAAAGCGAGAGAGTGGCTAGCCTCCTCCGTCATCTGCGCTTGCAGCTTTGGAGTTCATGAGGCTTCCCAGGGTTTCCCAGGTCCCAAACCTTGATAATCTTCGGGAATTTGAATTCTTGGGTGTGTGAGAGGCATTTTAGGACCCCTGAAAGTCCAAAGAAGGCCGTAAGAACTTCGCTTCCTCATCCAGAGGCCGGACTTGCCCGCCGACTAACCCCGCATTATTTTCCATTTCCTCTCAATGTTCTCTCCGTATTTCAGGAAATATGATCAGCGCCCCTGATGTGGTGGCCTTCACCAAGGAAGACGAGTACGAGGAAGACCCTTACAATGAGCCCGCCTTGCCGGAGGAGTACTCAGTACCTCTCTTCCCCTATGCCAGCCAGGGGGCTAACCCCTGGTCTAAACTGTCCGGGGCCAAGTTCTCCAGGGACTTCATCCTTATTTCTGAGTTCTCTGAACAGGTGGGACCTCAGCCCTTGCTGACCATCCCCAATGACGCCAAAGTTTTTGGCACTTTTGATCTCAATTACTTCTCCTTGCGGATCATGTCAGTGGATTACCAGGCTTCATTCGTTGGTCATCCTCCTGGTTCTGCCTACCCCAAGTTGAACTTTGTGGAGGACTCCAAAGTGGTGCTGGGAGACTCTAAGGAAGGGGCCTTTGCATATGTGCACCACCTCACCTTGTATGACCTGGAGGCCCGTGGCTTTGTGAGGCCCTTTTGTATGGCTTATATCTCTGCGGACCAGCATAAAATCATGCAGCAATTCCAGGAGCTTTCGGCTGAATTTTCCAAAGCATCCGAGTGCTTGAAGATGGGTAACAGGAAGGCATTTGCCGGGGAACTTGAAAAAAAGCTGAAAGACTTGGATTATACGAGGACTGTGCTGCACACAGAAACCGAGATCCAAAAGAAAGCCAATGACAAAGGTTTTTATACATCTCAGGCAATTGAGAAAGCCAATGAACTGGCCAATGTGGAGAAGTCCATCATTGAGCATCAAGATTTGCTGAGGCAGATCCGCTCGTACCCTCGCCAGAAGATGAAGATACCTGCTTTGCATCCTGGCGATACGGAGCACACCCAAGACCAGGCTGCCCAGGTCTCCACTACCTCCAACCCCGAGGAGTCAGCTAATGCAGACCTTTATACGTGCAGACCGGCTTACACCCCGAAACTCATCAAAGCAAAGTCCACCAAGTGTTTTGACAAGAAGTTGAAGACCTTGGAGGAACTCTGTGACACTGAATATTTCACTCAGACCTTGGCCCAGCTTAGCCACATTGAACACATGTTCCGGGGAGACCTATGCTACCTCCTGACCAGTCAGATTGACAGAGCACTTCGAAAACAACAGCACATAACAAATTTCCTCTTTGAAGACTTTATGGAGGTTGATGACAGAATGGAGAAACAAGAGAATGTGCCCTCTCGGCCCAGTCAGGACAGGCTGCCATCCAGGCCTATGGAAGAATGTCCCATTCCTAAAGTGTTAATTAGTGTTGGTTCGTACAAGTCCAGTGTGGAGTCTGTTTTGATCAAGATGGAGCAGGAACTTGGAGATGAAGAATACAAGGAAGTGGCAGCAGCAGAGTCAAGCAATTTTGACCCCCAAGAAAACCTGGACTACCTGGATATGGATATGAAAGGGAGCATCAGCAGTGGGGAAAGCATCGAGGTTCTGGGCACCGAGAAGTCATCCTCTGTGCTGTCTAAATCTGACAGCCAGGCCAGCCTCACGGTGCCATTGAGCCCCCATGTAGTCCGTAGCAAGGCAGTCAGCCACAGGACGATCAGTGAGGACAGTATTGAAGTCTTAAGCACCTGCCCATCTGAGGCCCTCATTCCTGATGACTTTAAGGCCAGCTACCCAAGTGCCATTAATGAGGAAGAAACCTATGCAGATAGTGAGGGGGCCATCCATTTCGAGGCAAATGTCTGCCCACCAGAACTGGGTGAGACTCAGGAGGGCAGCTTGGAAAATACCCCATCCCAAATAGACTCCAGCTGCTCTATTGGAAAGGCGAGTGAAGGTCAGCTGGTTCCTCTTCCCACCCCGGCTGACACTCTTTCTGATGAGGATGGTGTGGTGAGCATCCCCCCACAGAGCTCCAGGCAGAAGGACCAGGGGTTCCATGTGGACGTCGAGATGGAAAACACTGACCCTTCTCCCCGAGACAACAGCTGTGAAATGTTCCCAGCTTATGAGCTGGATCCAAGCTGCCTCCTGGCTAGCCGAGATGTTAGTAAGACAAGCCTGGATAACTACTCGGACACCGCAAGCTACATGAGCAGTGTGGCCTCTACCAGCTCAGACAGAACCCTCTCTGCTCACTCTGCTGGCCTATCCTCTGAGAGACACAAAAAGAGAGCTGGCCAGAATGCCTTAAAATTCATCCGCCAGTACCCCTTCGCCCACCCAGCCATCTACTCCCTGCTTAGTGGGAGGACGCTTGTGGTCCTGGGCGAAGACGAAACCATAGTCAGGAAGCTTGTCACCGCACTGTCTATCTTTGTTCCCAGCTATGGCTACTATGCCAAGCCAGTCAAGCACTGGATTTCTTCCCCTTTGCATATTATGGATTTTCAGAAGTGGAAGCTTATTGGCCTACAGAGGTAACTGGTTCCAGGTGGTGGGGAAGAACACTAGACATTAAGAGATGAAGCAGGTTGTTCTGTGGACCCCAGGAAAGGGAAGCTTGCTTTTTGGACAATGGATAACCAACTCACTATTTTTACCTTTGCCAAATTACTCTTGATTTTGTTGCCTTATCTGTCATGGAGAGGGGGTTCACAGTTGCTAAGTGATTGCCAGTGCTGGGGGCTCCTTCCCACTTTCGTGTCAGACCGTTTGGGAGAATTATTCTTTGTGTATGTTTGGTGCTAGCGATAGAACTCAGGGCCTGTGTATGCTAGGCAGATATACTACTTCTGAATTATATTCCCATCCCCTGGGAGAGTTTTAAATCGTGAAATCCCAATCAGATTCTGAATCAGTTGATCTGTCTGAAATAAGAGCTGGAGTCTTGCTTCAGTGAAATCAGAGAGTGAGTGGACTTGAAGATGCTATGTTCGTTCTGACTGCAGCTCACATTGGCATAAAGAATGTCACTGTGGGAGATGTAGAACTCCAGTAGCTTATACTCTGCTGCTGTATTTGCTATGGAAGTGAGCAATCACAAGAGCTTGTCTTTTCCCTGTTTGAAGTTATGGTGTTACCTTGCTATGGCTCATTCATACAAGTGTTTGGGCAGGTCAACTTTCTTGCCTGTGTTCCAAGAAAATTGAATGATCATTTGCTAAGTATTATGAGGCTAGTGAAGAGCCAGCCTCTGCCCAGTGCCTGAATTCCAAGGTAATCCAGCCATGTTGACTCTGGCCCCCATCCTGCCACCATGCCACCAGCTTGACTTCTGTAGTCAGCCGGTAAAGCCTGTCTTACGATACAGGTGCCTATCATTGACTTGTCTCTACAAGTGTACATTCTAAAATGAAGGCAACAGGCAGGGCACATGCTGTAGCATATGATATAGTGTATCCTACTGAGGGGGGCACAGATGTTGGGACACTCCTATATGAGTGTCAGTGCCTACACAGTGCTCCAAGGGATGATTTCCCCTGACAGGAGCCAGAAGTGGCATGGCGATGGGAGGGTCTCAGCTAAGCCAGAGAGGCCCTGGGAAGTGGCCTCTTCTCCTAGCAGAGACAATGCGTTTCTTCTAAGCAGACTCACTATTGCAGTTGAAAGGGAACTGGAATCTTCCTGAAACCATGAGGCTGGGACACCTGAGGTGAGAGCTGTCAGAGAAGGATGTGATGGGCAGCGGGAGCGGCAGGGTCTAGGTCAGTGCTGGTGCTGCCCCCTCACCATGGTAGATCTGGACACCTCAAGTTACATTGTGTGCCTCTGCTCCCAGTGCCACCTTCCAGAGCTGGAAAGGGGCCTGGATTGGGGGATGTCATTTTAGAACAGTTCCTGGCCTTAGTAACCGGTTAGCTACGTGGAGGCTAGTCTAGACTGTAGTAACAAGACATTGGCTTTAAGAAGAACAAAAGGGATGCAGAGTGAGAGCTTTTGTGAAGTGGCACTCTTGTCCACAGAGCCGTGAGCTACCGCAGGGCTATTTCTGTGAGCAGGGTTTGTCTGAATCCTCCAGTCTTGGCTTCACCTGGAACTGCTCAAGACGCTTTCAAAGAATGTCACCTTGAACCACCAGCTCCCCTGGCTCGATTCTTTTTCCCCACACAGGCCTTCTGCCAGACAACAGAAGGTTGGGTCAGCCACTGTTGAGCCTCCCATCATTTTAAATGAGCACCAGGGAGAAGTGTGGGACTTGCTGAACAGCAGTGACAAGATCAGGAATGATGGGTAAACAGGACCCAGTTCTAGCAGGAGAGAGTCAGGGGAGTTGGAGGCTTAGGCGAGGTCCTGGCTGGGTGACCTCGGACTCCTCAATTCTGGTGGCTTCCCTAGTTTGGATGGTGACAGTGACTTGGGGGGAATAGGCTGTGTTCACTGTAATGGAGCACAAGGCCTGGGGCCTGACTGTGTATTTGGCTTCCTGAAGAAGAGTTTTATGGGGAAGAGAAATGGGAGATATTGGAAGGAGCCAACATCTGGGAGGGAGTGCCAAGGCTGAATCTCAGGAAAGGGCCTAGGCTGGGCGTTAACACAGAGATGGAGGGTCAGACAGGGAGAGCTGCGCCGAGCCTAATGGAAAGCCAGAGGAGCAGACTCAGGTGTGCCTGTCCCGTGATAGAGAAGCTGGTGCGGGGTGAGGCACTGGAATTGGCAGAGGGTGAGAATGCTCTCTTCAGATCTCTTACTGCCCTCATAGACTGCTTCTCACCTGTAGGCCCCAGTTCTCCCTTGTGCATGGGGTGTGCTGTCCACCCACTGGTTTAGAGCCTGTGTGTGCCTGCCGTTTGAATTCTGAGCTGACCTTGTCGCGGTCTTCAGGCCTTCCACAAGCCCCAGGTCCCATTCTCCTTCAAGTCCAACACTCCCATGAAGAGGAACAAGTCAAGACTCTAAGACATCCTTCATTGCAGTCTCAGCTCCCAGGTCAATGCCTGGCTAGGTAATAGATGCTTAGTAAATAATTATGAGATGCACCAAGAAGGAAAAAATAGCTATGGTCCCAGTGGCGTCTCTTTTCGTATAGTATCGTGCCCTAAATGTTAGAGGAGGGTCGTCTGTAAAATCTTGTCTGTTCTGTTTGCTAGGCCTGTGGGGAATGCCTACACTCATGGTTAGACTGCTCTAAAGGAGAGCTTTTGTTTTCTTGTGCTGGAATGAAAACCCTGACCTGTGCATGGCAGGCAAATCTTCCACCTACTCTACCCCACTCCCCTTGAGGAAGGCCATTTTTGTTTTGTTTTACTTCTAGAAGTTTATTACAGACTCAAAGGTGGGAGTTTAAAGAGGAGATACTCAGAGCACCATGCTGTCTGAACTAGGCATGGAGGTCAGCCACATGGTGGACAAGAAGCCAGCTGGCAGGGAGGGGTGCCTTGGAGAGCGAAGCTCAGTATTAGGGAAAGCATGCTTAGAACAGAGATGGGAAGAAAAGGAACTTACGCCTGAGAAACTTGAGGACTTTAGGGAGCAGCTTCGGAAGGCTGAGCACTTGGTCTGTTCACTTCACCCTGGAACACATGCTGCTGGGCACTGGGGACATAGCACCAAGGGAGATGCAGCCCAGGGCTCTAGAATGGAGAATTCCCTATCAGCCACCACACTGGGTGGATGTGGGCACAGAGAAGTAACAGTGATAGCAGCACCCACTGAAGGCCAGGTCCCATCCTAGGTGACTTAGTTTGTCACACTGGTGACCCAGATCTCAGGGACGAGACTTGGAAAAGGTAAAGGAGATTGCCTAAGCTAATAGACCAGAGAAGAGGGAGACGTGAAGGTGCTTCCATCTCTGTGAGGGACTCCAGGGACAGCAGACGGCCAAGCCCTCCTAGAGCACCACTGAAAGTTTGGCTCACTCTGTGGAGCAACCGTTTAGTCAAATAATAGATGTTTCAGAGGCCATCAGGAATCAAATTGCCCAGGGCCTTGGGAACCAAAGCATTTGAACTTCCTCTAGTTGGGTGGGAGTTAGTTTGGGGACAGTAAGCCCTATCTCTTAAGTATCTGCCTCTACTTTTCTAACCCTTGCCTTTTCTGACCTTGGCCTGTCTTTTTCAGAGTGGCCTCCCCTGCCAGTATGGGTACCCTCCATACCCTGAGCCGTTACAGCCGCTATACGAGCATCCTGGACCTGGACAGCAAGACCCTACGCTGCCCCCTGTACAGGGGAACACTGGTGCCCCGCCTGGCCGACCATCGCACCCAGATCAAGCGAGGCAGCACATACTACCTGCACGTCCAGAGCATGCTCACCCAGCTCTGCTCCAAGGCATTTCTCTACACCTTCTGCCACCACCTGCATCTGCCTGCCCACAGTGAGGAGACACAAGAAGCCGTGGCCAGCAGACAAGCCAGCTTCCTAAAGCTCAACCTGGGACTCGTGAATGAGGACATCAGAGTGGTGCAGTACCTGGCTGAGCTGTTGAAACTGCACTACATGCAGGAGTCACCTGAGACCACCCAACCCCTGCTCAGGTTTGACTATGTCCCCAGCTTTTTGTACAAAATCTAAGAGTTCCAGCCACCGTGACCAAGACCTGTGACTTGGTATGGGAAGGGAAAAGGTCGGTGTGACTAAATGGTTGCCTGAGCTGGAGTGTTGAGCTTTCTGGTGTCAGCAGGAAGGAAACAGGTGGCAGTCGTGGTTCCCATCTAGCCCTGGGCAGTGTGTTAAGTGGGCCAAGCAGAGGTAGAGCCTGACTCTCCAGAGGTGGCTGCTCTGGGGAAGTAGCTGTCAAATAGGGGTTGTCCTTAATTTTCCAAGGATCAACAGTCTGGGCAGGAAGAAGAAAACTCCAGACCCTTGGGGCTGGAAAAGATGAGGCTAAGTAGCCAAAGCCCAAATGACACCCGGGTATCAGCCTGGGAACTGGTGTGTGTAGGAACAAGACAGCCATCACCTCCGTCTACCTCTACCAAGGCCCTTTACTTGGCTTCCTGGAGCCCAATAACTGAGGGGAGGCTCCTGAACAAGGACCAGGAGGAAAAGTGCTCTGGTCAGTTGGAGAAAGACACATCTGGGCTCTGGGGGATGCAGAAGTGGCCCCCTGTCCTATCTTCCCCTCTGTCAAGGAAGTGCTTATTGAGTCCCTGGGGGTCCTTCCTTACAGTGGTCCTGGACGTGAAGCAGGTATGAAATGGCTATAGCCCATATGAGAACCTTGGGAGCAGTAGAAGCAGGCCCTAGCCCATTCCCCACTTGTATGGCAGGAGCTGCCCACTGGCTCTTCTCGGCCACACCATTAACTCGAACGCCCCTGGAAAGGGATGCAGCACTCTGCTACCTCTCCTGGGGCCTAGGGGCTTGGTGACCACTGAGTTCTGACTAGAACTTAGGAGCAAGGCTATCCCATTCCAGCTCCTGGGTGGCTGTCATAGACCCATACCCAAGAGGCAGTGTACACTTCTATCCTTACAATCATCCCCATGTGCGTCCCTTCCAGTCCCACTGGTGGCCATCGTCATGACCTCCCGGGGACTCCTTTTGCAGCTGCTTCTGCTGGGCCTCATGTGCTACATGGAGCACTCTTCAGTCTGGAAAATGTGAGACCTGTTTAAAAATGTTTTCTCCCTAAACAGGGGAAGCTCTGGTTATTAGTGCTCCTTTTTAATTTGCAACAAAACTGCAGTAAACTGGACCTGGATCAGCCCTGAGCATGCATCGATTAGATGCTGTGTCCCCTGCACTCAGGTCTCTCAGCTGGCCACACCACTGAGGTCTCTCACAAGAAGGAACCCTGTAGAAGCCAAGTAACCAAAGATGGCTTGGCAGCATGTCACTCCTGCCTTTGACACGAGGTTGGTTTTGGTCCACAGCTTCAGGTCGTGGTCCCCATTTCACTTTAGACAGTATGTGGCTTTCTAAGGCTTTGACAGAGATCCAGGATTTTGTCACTGTATTTACAGACACCTTAGCAACTGTGGTTTCTCCTCATGGGCTCCCTCATTTGCTACTGCTTCTCAGTGTTCTAAAGATGCGACTTTGGCTGGTTGGCAAGGTGGTGTTTCCTCAGGCCTCCAAGGATGAATGTGTTCTGGAGATCAAGAGCCAGGCTGGGAGGTGGTCAGTTTCTGGTACTGCCTCAGCACGGGGACTCGGAGGTGAACACTGTTCCCTACGCTGAGAAAGGTGGATGAGCTGCAGCCACACTTGGCCTTCTGGATACTGAAAACACAAACTCCAGTGGTCTGAAGTGGAGCTCCACGTGCAGGTATCTCCTTGGCATTCAGCCACATAGTGACTCAGAAGACAAAGCCATGACTGATGTGAAGTGGGCACAACTGTCTTGTGTAGCAGCTGTGGAAATGGCCTCTCTTGAACGGCTCCTCACCAACTACAGACTCACAAGGGGTCAAACTCTAGGATTTACTTTTTTTGTTTTGTTTTTGAGATAGGATCTCATGTTAGCCCAGGCTGGGTCAAATTCAGTATGTACCAAGGATAACCCTGAATTCTTGATCCTTCTGCCTCCCCATCCCAATTGCCGAGATGATAGGTGTGTGCCACCAGACCCAGTGACTGGATTTATTTAGGCTTGGTGAAGGAAGCCTAATAAGGATTACTTATTGCTGGAAGGATTACTTAATGCTGAAAGCATGCTTCCTCTCAGGATCTTAGTCACAAGGACTGAGTTTGGACCGAGGCAGTTAACACATTTTTCCTCTGCTGTAGAGGACTGGAATCCTCTAGAAGTATTTCTACACACCTTGATGCTGTGGAGACCTATGCAGCAGGACTCAACTCCTTGAATTTTCATTTGTCATTGGGCGTGGTGGCACACATCTTTAATTCCAGCATTCAAGAGGTGGATCTCTGTGAGCTAGAGGTTACCCTGACCTACATGATGAGTTCCAGACCAGCCACAGTCACATGACACCCTGTTCTCAAAGAACAAAAGATTTCCATCTGAAGCATTTCTCAGTTACTAGGCTAGTAAGGCTTTTGTTTGTTTTGCTCTTTTGAGACAGCCTCATATGGCCAACGATAACTCTGAACTTCTGATCCTCCTGCCTCCACATGCTTTGCAGGTCTGTCGTGCCTAGATTATACAGTTTTGGGGAATGCCCCCAGAGCTTCATACATACTAGGCAAGCACCCTACCAACTGAGCTGCATCCCTAGGCTGGCTAATTTCAACTATCCTATTAAAAACACCTCACAGCAGGATAACAGAGCCCCTTCTTTATTCCTATCACTTTGAATTCTGGCAGTAAAACTGACAAGTCAGGTTTATTTCAATTTGGCTGCCAAGCAATTATTTGCCTTCCTGTTTTTAGAGCTGTCTAGTTTAAGAACCATCCAGTTGAGCTGGCACATTACTTTTACCATTGTACAAGTAATGCTTGTATGTTACTGGACATGCACATGCTCCATTGCTGAGGTCAGTCCACGGTCTTCCATACAGTGTTGGGGGACGTGGGAACATACTGGCTTGAGTTGCCTCACCATTTCTCTTCAGTAGAACCTTGAATTAAAAATGTTTTAATTCAGCCAGTTGGTAATGGCACACGCCTTTAATCCCAGCACAAAGGACGCAGAGGCAGGTGAATCTCCGGGTTCGAGACCAGCCTAGTCTACACAGACCCTGTCTCAAAAACAAATGTTTTAACCCCTCCATGATTTGCTACTGAAGTGGCTGAAGTTACTCTTAAACTTGGAACTGGACTTCAGTCATGACCTGTCATTCCTGATCTGATCTTTAACTCCTTTATTTTAGATCAGTTGCCATATTTAAAGTACAGAGGATTTCAACATAATCCTAGGAAGGTCAGGAGATTTCCTTTCTCCCTTGCCAAGTATCAAAGCCAGCAGTGCTGTGTGGTACTGGATGGAGGCAGAGCTTCTAGGTTATCTTGTATGCATCTTGGCTACCTGCCTACTTTGCTCAGTCTATGCCACTCCCCAGCCTGAGTGCTACATATTGGACCAATGTCCTGTGCCACCATGGTTCAGCTCTCAAATGGTTGGGTAGCAGTAGCTCACCCAGTCAGGGATGATGCATCATCAGGTGTGAGGCCTCTGGAGGTACCAAATCCTCATGGCAGTAGGCCATCCAGGCTACCTTCTACTTCCCTAGAAAGCTCCTAAGAAAGTGCCTTGGCTTGTACTCTGAAACAAATAGCCAGCTTTCTGGCTTTACCCTAAAACTGTGATCAAACTGGACACACTCACACTTAGGCTGCAGAAAGGAGCAAGGTTTAGATTCCTTTTGCTCTGAAAGCAAAGCCTTGCTTGAACTTAAACACAGTTTCCCCGAGTCCTTGGCCCAGTAAGGTTTGATAACGTTAAAGCTTAGGGAAGGAACAGCTGGAACAGATAAGGTGTAGCAGTGGGAAAAAAAAGCATCCTACGGTGTTGGTGTGTTGGTGGTTTACAGCATAGGTCCCCAGGAGGCACAGCTTGGAGCTGTGTAGTTTTCTTCAGCTAGGCAGGAATTAAGTTCCTGGATTTAAGGTTGCTAAAGTAGTACAGTGGCCCCACAATCAGAGGTGAGGGGACCAGTATGCCACCACACTCCCCGGAAACCAACACAACTGCCTTCACATGGTGGAGACAGCACCAACCACGGACCAGCTTCCAGGGAGCCTTGGCCAAACTCTTATACTGGCCAGCTAGAGCTGCAGGCTGGACTGAGGCATACAGCAGTTAGCGAGCAGCACGGTCTGCAATGAACTCTTGCTATTTTCTAAGAAGCTATTTTATTACTGCATGTCCCACCATGTCTGTGAATATGTGTCCCAACCTGCAAGTTGCAGTCACAGTACTGGAACCAGGGCACTGCTGATGTGACCGTGTACCACAGGCATTATGCACAAAGTTTAACCAGAGTAAATGCCAAACAAATAGTATGAGGAGTGTACTTTTAAAAATATTAATTTATTTGAGTTCAGATATTTTTAAAATATAAAAATTGGTTGTATTTTTTAAAGCTATAATTCTTGTAGACATTCTGTGGATAAAAATTTGTGTGTATTAAATTGGTTTGCAATTTAGCCATGTGAAAAATAAAGACTCTTTGGGAAGGTGGCATTTGGGTTCCTAATTACAAGCAGCTGATATAACACAAAGCCTTTGGCCTCTGCTGACTCTCAAACCAGAAAGGAATTTTCTTATCTATAAGGGACAACCAGTTCTATAGTTTGTGTCCTAGGCATGAATACATACTGAGTATGTGCATTCCCTCTAAGTGACAGTGACACCATAGCCTTTCTATAAGGTAATTCAAACTGCCGCCGCTATTTTTTTCTTTAAAACAAAATGTTACGTGCTTTGCTATTTTGCCTATATGTATGTCTGCAGCTCATGTTTACCTGGTGCCCTCAGAAGCCAGAAGGTGTTGGAACTGGAGTTACAGATGATTGTGATCCATCGTGTGGGTGCTGGGGGTCAAACCAGGGTCCTTGGAAAGAGCAGCCAGTGCTGAGCCATCTTTCCAGCGCCTGATCCTAACTCTTGCTTACAACTGTCTCGTTTATAGTCTCAAGCTCAGAGCAGAAAACTCAGTGTTCCTCTCCATTCTACTGGGCAAAAGAAGAGGAAGAAGAGAAAACACGAGGGTGAACCTGAACATTTCCTTACCTGCCACAGGGCCACTGAGAAAGGAGAAAGGAGAATTCTGGAATCTTTAATAGCTCTGCCTCATACTGCAATCAATAAGTGAGATCAAATGACTACACAGTACTTTTTCCAGAATAATTAATTATATACGGCTGTTGAGAAGGCGAAGTCTCAAATTTATAGTCCTTGATAACCTGTCCCAGATTTCTGAAATAAGAACAGCCTGCCAGAAACACCCTCCAAAGCACAGGGCAGGCTCAGTGGCCTACTACAGGGCAGCTTGGTGGTCTCGAGGGAGCACAGGCTTCAGAGGATCCTGGAACAGTCCTACCCTCAGAAGTCGGGCAAGCCTGGTAGTAAGAAGTTGGAAGCAAAATTCTCCACGTCTTCCCGGAGAGTCCTCAGAGCACTCTGGTACTTCTCATCCCCCGCCAGCTTCTCCTTGAACTCTTTCAGTGTGGCCTTCCCGGCCATGTCACTCTGAATCTGCACAGTCAGCTCTATCCCTGTGCAAAAGACAGTGAGTGTCAACTGGGGCCTCCTTCACTATATATCCTGCTGTAACTAGGTGATTCTGGGCCGTGTCCTTTGTCAACAGACATTTATAAACCTCATACAGGAGGGATTTTTAGACCAGCTTTCACCCATGGCTGGGTCTTGGCTACTAAAACACACGAGCAACTATACACACAAGCAAGATATTTGAACTCCCAATACCTCGCCCTCCCTTACCTCTGTGGATAAAGTGTGCAACTTTTTGAAAGTCTTCCTCCAAAAGTCCACGGGATGTCAATGCTGGGGTCCCCAGTCGCAGTCCACTGGGCCGTAGTGCGCTCTTATCACCTTTGAGACAAGCAAAGTCCTGAGCTGCGTCGAACACACTACTGTGCCCACTGTATTTTCAAAGGAAAGTTGGGTAAAGATCCTAGTCTGTGGATCCCAACTTGATCTAGCAAGGAGGTGACTGACTTCAAAACTAGGGTGTAGGACAAAAAAGCATGTGGGCCACTGTATTAACCAATGAAAAGCAGTCCTGTGGGGTGGCTCCGGGTCCTTCAGAGGTTAACATCTGTGTGGGCCTGACAGGAGAAATGCTACTTGGTTTTAAAAGTTCCTGTCTCTCTTACAGCTGTGCCACTCAGTTGTCCTTTCCTTTCTGCCCTTCCCTAAGGTGGTCTGTCTCCTAAGCTGAATACTTTCGTCAACTCCAACACTGGCTGAAAGAAATGCAGATAGGAGGGCCATGGAAGGAATGACCACAGAGGAGTCTCACCTGGGCAGGTATTCTTGTTGCAGGCAATAGAACAGGCTTCTAGTACCTTCTCAGCCCTTCCACCATCGGTACCCTTAGAACGGAGATCCACTAGGATCAAATGATTGTCAGAACCACCTGGAAACAAATTTGGATAAAATGGAATTAGAAGGTTGGCCACACAAGGAAAAGAACCTGCGGTTCTGGAGAGGTGGGCAAAGATGCTCCTCTAGGAACTGGGAAGAGGACATGACATAAAGAGGTGCAGAGATTCTGACTGAAGCATCCAGCAGCTGCTACAGCCCAGACTGCCTGTGCCATGACATGGTAGAGACCCACAAAGGCTGAGGAGCACTCAAATTCTCATATTCTGTGTGTGACAAGTGACTCTAGGTAAATGTTCTACCACTGAGCCACATCCCCAGCCTTTCTGATGCCCATTTTAAGACTCTGGGATAGGCATGGCGTTACATGCTCTCAATCAGTCCCACCACTCGGGCAGAGGCAGGTGGATCACATATGAATTCAAGGCCAGCCAAGACTACAATAGTGAGACTTTGTCCCAAAAAACCAAAATAACAAAAGAGCTCCTTTTGAGTAGTGCCGGCTCAATTAACCATGCAGATGGGGTAATGACCATATATGTTCTGGAGGCTCTGTACTTTTGTTCTAAACCCCATGGCAAAACAGACTGGATACCCGGCATTCAAGACCAGAAGCAGTGTTTTGAGATTTGAGGGTTTTTTTTCCCCCCACATTTTGGAATATTTGCTAGACATTATTAGTTGAACACCCTAACACAAAAATGCTAATCCAAACTTTTTAGGCATCTGGTTTGCATTCAACGCCTTCAGATTCCAAAGGATATATATATATATTAGTGACATAAATAATGCTAAGATTCAGATCTCGAGGCTCCCTAAGTTGATGGTGTTAAAGGCCTGCTCTCTATTCTAGCGTTACCAAAAGGTGACAGAGCCAGATGCTGGCCACTGTGGTGTAAGCCTATGTCATACCTAGCATTCTGGAACTGGAGGCCAGCCTGGGCTATGTAATGAAACCGTTTCAAAAAGACACTCACCCTGTCCCCCAAAAGACAGGCTTAGTAAGTTTTTTTTTTTAAAATATTTATTTATTATGTATACAATATTCTGTCTGTGTGTATGTCTGCAGACCAGAAGAGGGCACCAGACCTCATTACAGATAGTTATGAACTACCATGTGGTTGCTGGGAATTGAACTCAGAACCTTTGGAAGAGCAGGCAATGCTCTTAACCACTGAGCCATCTCTCCAGCCCTGGCTTAGTAGGTCTTTAGGTCACTGAAGGACTGTGGGATCTCAGCCCCTTTTTTTCTTTCTTCTTCCCTGGCTGTGAACTAAATGGCTGTGGTTCGCCACAAGCTCCTACCATGATGTACCTGCCCAAAAGTAAAGAGGCTAACTGGGTTAATCTACTGTGGACTTGATCACACACTCCAAAAATGAGCTAGTCTGTCTTTGTGTTACACTGATTACCTCAGGCACTTTTTTATAGACACAGCTGGCTAACAGATGAAGAGGACAGCAGTAATAACAGAACTTTCTGGACCAAGCCCAAGGTCATAAAGATCCTCTAGGTCTTTCCACTTTGAACTCTTTTTAAACCATGGTTTGGCCTTGAAAGATCACTGTAGCTGGGCGGTGGTGGCACATGCCTTTAATCCCAGCACTCGGGAGGCAGAGGCAGGCGGATCTCTGTGAGTTCGAGGCCAGCCTGGTCTACAAGAGCTAGTTCCAGGACAGGCTCCAAAACCACAGAGAAACCCTGTCTCGAAAAAAAAAAAAAAAAAGAAAAAAAGAAAGATCACTGTTTACTCCAACCCCAGGCTGTACTGCAGGAATGATTCCAAAGATCCCAGGTCAAAAAAAAGAAAAAAAGACTGGCGTGTGACAAGGCTGTCACATGACAGGAACCAGGGAAAGCCTACTGTGCCCTGGCCTCATGGGTGGGGTGAGCTATCAGCAAGTGGGTGCAGCTGTAACCTGACATCTCTGTTATCCAGAATGTGCATTGGGTGTCACATGGCAGTTGCTAAAACACACAGAAGGGAAAGAACTATAGCTGAGGTATGCTCAGCTGTGTGATGTGACAAACCACACCCTAACCAGATAAACCAAGAGGCAAGACTTCAGTATACCCAACCAAGAAAGGTCAGCCCAGTTTTGTGAGCATTTAGTATACCTGTGACTATTTTGTAGCCTAGGTCTGTGAGGGCCTCAGACAGAGCCCTGCAGTTGGCCACCACTTGGAGCTGGTAGATTTTGAATTCTGTGGTCATGGCTTGCTTCAGGGCCACAGCAACACCTGGACAAGGAGACAGATTTAAATACAAGTATTGACTCAGGAGCAGGCCTTATTTTCAGGGAACCCAGAATCTGTGAACTATTACATCACCCCCCTCACATGACCAATTATCTATTTCTATTCTTGTACATGGCTAGGGACAGAACCCAGGATCTAACCCCCATACCCATTGTTTTAGCCCTATAATTACCCTACCACCCTTACAGACATCACTAAAGCCACTCCCCAAGGACTGCTTTGGAGGTAAGCTTATCTCTGGGGATGAAAGCCCAGTGTATTCTGATTACCACAAGGATGGATTTTAGTCCTTTTATGCTTGATATATGGAAATGAATCTCTGGATGAACGAAGTCAGTGACATAATGCAGCATTCTGAGCTGTCCCAGAAGGAACAGCCTGCTTGCCCCCTCACCACCTCGGAGCACTGACACTCTTGTAATTACTCATGAGCGCTGTCTGACTACAAGGGACGAGAAGCAGAGCACCATGCTCAATGCACACACTGATGTCCTGGTATGGAGCACCTGTCTGCTTGTGGAAGCACTAGGTTCAGTAGCAGGAACCATGAGACGTAAGCAGACCCTGCAATGAGGAAATCTGAAAACCCAGAGCCCATGTCCCACCAATGTGCTATGTTAAGCGAAACTAGCTTCCAACTCAGAAATCTGTCTGCCTCTTCCTCCCCAGTGCTAGGATTCAAGGCATGTGCCACTATGCCCCCATTTTTGTTTATGGGTGTTTGGCTTGCATGCATGTGTGTGCATCACTTGCATGCCTGGTCCCTGCAGAGACCAGAAGTAGGTATTGGATTCCCTGAAACTGGAGTTACAGATAGTTGTGAATCCCCTGTAGGTACTGGAAACTGAGTCAGGT